GCCGTTTCGAATCCTTCGAAGACTTTTCTTGCCTTGAAAAAAGTCAACCCTAGGATTTTGTCGCCTTTTAAAAGATCATTCTCTAAAAAAAAAATGGGAAAACACCGAGCTCACACATCATCCGAGAGTCCGAGATGGCGAACCGATCAGATTGCTTAAAGCACCACTGAGTTTGTACATACTAAAAATGAAAATATACTCTAGAACAAACACACAACTGTGATATACTAATAAACAATTTTGTTAAATCCACTTTTCTCAGCCAGTTTAAGTTTAAGTCCATAAATCGTCGAATGTCCTTAATAGCAGCAAAGACTCAATTCCTGAAGCTTAATTTACTGTAAAGCTGATTAAAACGTTCGCCTCTTTGGAGCTTAACGAAAACTCGCAGATCCCTGTTAAAAAAGGCCTGGAACAGCGATTGGGGAAATTACTGTACATCCTGGAAGGCCAGAAGGAAGAGAAGATTAAAAAAAGAAAAAAAAGGAAACATAAGGTGCGTTTACACTAGACCTTCTCCCCAAAGCTTCCCTTGGGGAAATAGCTTGATTTGGCCTCGCTCTGGGTTTTGATTACTTTCATGTTTGCGGTTTTACACCGATAAACGCGTTAAATGTCCTTGTGAACATTATGAAGAGTGACGTAAATAGTAAGACGTTTTCGACTGTTTTTACCCCTCTTAAAAACCTCCACATCAATTCCTCTTAGCAATACCGATTCACCGCTTAATTTTAAGACTACAACAACGACGTCGACTTCATTTGCGCTTAAAGAAGGAAAATTTGGTAGCCCGCAAGACAAAGCGGGTCCACAAAATTCGTACCAGCGAATCCTTGCTGAAAGAATTCTTGACGCTACCGATGTGAAGAAATCTTCCAACTGTCTAAAAGGGGCTTTTGAATCTATTCTATTTAACATGTTAAAAATATTTTCCACACAGCACAAAAGCAAGTGCCGAGCAATTTCTAATGTTACTTAGATTTCACTTTCTAATCTTGTGATTGACTGAGCCACTTTGGGTTCTTATTAATAGGTGGGGCTGCAGTGGCCGTTTTACCCATGGGCAAATGGCTGTTGCCCACGGTGAGGCAACGTTTTGTGTGTGACCGATTTCCCCAAGGTGTAATTGCTTTCGGGAAATTTCTATGGATTCACAAAACAACAAATGAATTACCCATGACAGTAGCCGAGGTAAGTTCTATGGGTCAATAAGTTATGAAATGCTAAGGACTACTTAGCTTGGCATTTTCTCTCGGCGCAGGTCTAAACTCAAGGACCACAGTTTAATCAATAACAGTTCAGCTGTAACATTAACTAAAGGCCACTTCAATCCTTTTTTTCTTTGATTTTTTAACACCAGGAAACACAAAAAAGGGCAAATATGGAATATAGGGATAAGGGATAGTAGAGGAAAATATTAAACATTTCCTGAATGTTCTCCTTTTGAAAATCCATTTGTGATTCACAGTTTGGCGCCTGACTTATATACAGTAAATGAACTTAAATGAGTAGAGATCTTATGAAGTTCCCTTACTCCACCCATGCTATTACGCCTTTTTCGCAAAGAGTGCGTCTCCGTAGAAGGCGTGTTTACTTCAACAGTATTGTGCGAGGAGGTACGGACGATCTTCATCTTAGCCTTTTGAAGATTAGCATTTAAACGCATATATTCTTGGAAAATTGCATCAGCTCTAGAAAATTCTGTCATAAACGATTTGTCTATTGTATTTTCCGGCTCACAATATTTCAACTGAGCAAGTTCTATTCCACCTAAACCCAGCTGCACTATGGAACGTCGTCTTGAAATTGAGGGCAAGTCATTTTTCCTTGCTTTTCCTTTGATGAAATTCTTTGCCGATAAAGTCAATAACTTGAGTTTCTTCTCTAAGTCTTTGGCGGCCATGTTTGCTGCAATTTTTTCTTTAGATTCTTTCAAGTGCTTCATAAGTACAGCAATGACAACATTAACTAACACAAACTGAGCCGCCAGTACGAAGGTAACGAAGAAAATAGGTGCTGTGTATTTGCTCATGCAACAGTATTTATCACATTCAGCTTCAGAAGAGCATTTGGAGCGCAGTGTGTCCTGGAAAGAAAAGTAAATGGTACTGTTAAACATGTCTTTTATTGAGCTACTCCGGCATTATTTACAATTATTTATTTTAAAAATTAATGCAGCAAAAAACCCGTGTAAGAACCTAGTGGTTTAAGAACCTGTTGGCAGAAAGTTGTCACTTTAATACCCAAAATATGTAAGAACCTGTTTAGCCAAGCAAAATCAGACAGGTTCTTATATGCGGGTTAGAGTTGAATTATGATAAACATTTTAACCAAGGAGTTTAGCTTTGAGATTCTAAATTGATATTACAAGAAAACACTCTACCAAACGGTACAAATAAAAGTATCACTGAAATTCCAAAAAGAAACAGGTTTATATAAAGTATAAAATAACTAAGATAGTACGCGCGCTCTGATCGGCCGAGAGGAGTGTTTGCATGAG